CCCCCCCTTTTATGAAAAGTTCTGGATCCGCCACTGAATATCTAAATTTATAAACTTGTTTTAAGGAAATCATTGCTAGCACTCCATGCAATAATCCTCTATTTACAAGTACCGAATTGCCAAATATGAGAGTACAAGGGATATAGGCAGATCCAGGGGGCCCTGGGGGGCTCGCCCCCCCCCCCCTCTTTCGTGGGAAAAATTTGGTTGATTATATTGGGAATCACTGAAGCGTGACTGGAGCGGGCCCCCTTAGGTCAGTCAGCTGCACTTTATTGTGGAAACGTGTGTCATCATGTATGTTTCAATTCATGCAATTCATTTTGAAATGAAGAATGAGCCAATCAAAATAACGTATAATAATGAAACATACATCTAATGTAATTATTAAGGAAAAGGAATACACGTTGTATGTTTTATTTCTGTTTATGTTCTTCTTTCATTTTTTTGGGAGGAGGGATAGATGATTTATGTCATAAGACGAGTAAGCGAGTTACAATAGATCTGATTTTCAATCAAATTGTTAAAATTGAATTGAAATACAGGTAATATGATTTATCTGTGTGTTCATTGATGCATAACATGCATATATAGATATCCGATGAGAAACATCATATGTCAGAGACTATATATAACGTTATAAAAACAGGTACAAGACAAGACAAGACAAAATATTTTATTTCCTCAGACACAAACGTGTACAAGAGGTCAAAACATGATAAAGTATACACATAAATCGACAGCAGAGTAATGTATAATAGCACGTGATTTTCATGACATTGAGATATATACATTATATATTACCTATTAAGTTTAAAGGATTACATTTGTACAGATATCTTCCTATTTATTCACTGATTGTGAGTACCTAAATATATATATAATGTATAAAAATTGTATCTACAACAAATAAGTAATCTTTCTAAGAAAAGTACATACTTTCCTATACACCTTTATGTTGCACAATGAAAGTAAACCGATTAATTTCTGCCTTGAAGGATATTGTAAGTAATAATTAGGTACGAGATTTTGTCTAAGAAGTGACACACTAGGATGTGAACAAACACACATATAATGATATTCGTCGCCAATATTTTGATTACATAGATGACATATCCTATTTTCTTTTAAAATATTTTTCCATCTTCCCGTTTCAATTGGGAATTTAAGATTTGAGCATCCAAATTTAGCCATATGCAATCTATCAGTATTTCCCAATCGTACTAGATAGGGTTCTAATTCAAATATATTTTTGAATTTACCATAGAATTCTCCTCTTGAAGAATTATTAATTACAGAAAACCATTGTTGTATAAACTGATCTACAAGTTTTTGTTTGACAAGAGATTTCAACATTTCTCTATTCACAGGTATCTGATCATTCCATATAAAAGTAAGACCACTTTCATCAAGAATGGATTTGATGTACGCAACCCATTTAAAATGTTTGGGTTTACTCTGGTGAAGTTGTAACATAAGTCTATATAAAATATTAGATAATTTATTCTCATTTGAGAGCATATCATTCCAAAACATAACCATGCGTAGTTTAATAGTAATATCAATGGGATAACGACCAAGTTCCCCGTAAACCATAAAATTTGGAGTACTTTTTCTCACGTGCAGAATATTTTTACAAAACTGCAAATGCATCCGTTCCAGTCCCTGTTTATTTTCAAATCCCCATACTTCACTAGAGTAAATCATTATAGGTAGAATAAGACAATCAAATAACTTTAGCTGTATATCTACGGGAATTGCAATATTTCTTATCTTTCTATATAGTGCATACAATGCTTTATTGGACTGTTCCAATAATTTTTTTCTAGCTGAACAAAAAGAGCCATTATAATTAAATACAATACCCAGATAAGTATATGAGTCTAAGACATCAATATTTTTACCATAAATTTTAAATTCTGATTTAACCTTGTATTTCTTTTTACTGAAAATTACAATTTTAGTTTTACTTGTATTAACTGTGAGTTTCCATTCATTACAATATTGCTCAAAAACTGCCAATGCATGTTGCAGATCCTCCTCTGACTCAGATAAAATAACTGTGTCATCTGCATATAATATTATAAAGATTTTTACATAACATAATAAGATTTCTTGGCATTTATCTGATATATTTTCAAGGTCTTTTACATCATTATCTAGTAAAAATTTCTCCAGATCATTCAAAAAGAGGGAAAAAAGAAAGGGGGATAAATTCTCCCCTTGTTTCACTCCTATATCACAACTAAAAAATGCAGAAATATCCTTTCCCATTCTAATACATGTCTGGATATTCTGATACATGTTGTGTATAACTCTCAATATTTTGCCTTGAATATTATACTGTAGCATCTTTTGCCACAAACCAGCTCTCCAAACTGTATCAAATGCACTTTTGAAATCAATGAACGAGCAAAATAATTTTTTACCAAATGAAAAATAGATAGAAATAAGTGAATGTAAAATAAAAATATTATCCATAGTAGAAAACCCTTTTCTGAACCCAGCCTGTGCTTCTGTAATTAAGCCTATTTCATCTGTCAATTTATTTAATCTGTTATTGAGCACAGCAGTGAATGTTTTACTTAGACATGAATTGAGAGTTATACCTCTGTAAGAATTCGGGTCAGATTTAGAACCCTTATTCTTGAAAATTGGAACCATTATTCCTTTGGTCCAGCATTCTGGTATAATACCCGTATCTAACACAATGTTAAATAACATTACATACACATTCATCATATCATCTAATGTACATTTAATATATTCATTCAATATGTTATCATATCCAGCAGATTTATTATTCTTTAAATTTTTTACAGCACATTTTATTTCATCTGCTGTTATTGGAGAATTTAATAATTCTTCTATATCTGGTGGTAAACTATTAACATCAATATCTATATCAATTTCATCATGTATATTATTTTCATTCATGGATTTAAAATAATCATATAATGTTTCTACAGATATTTCACATTTCTCATCTTTTTTTGTAACAAATTTATTTAAAATTTTCCAAAACTCTTTCCCTTGTTTTTTTTTATGTATTTCTCAATTTTTGTTCGAAGTCAAATTGATAGTTTTTGTATGCTTGGTTTGTAACCATCTTGTATGATTTACTTGTCTCGAGTAGTTGTTTGCGTGTTGCTTCATTTTTAAAAACGTTATAACGTTTTCTGGCTTTATGAAATTTTTTTCTCGACGAAAGACATTTATTAGTGTACCAGGGTTTTGAGTTCGGTTTCTTTCGTGATTTGTAGTGCGGTTTTGAAAGTGTTGTCTTTGCAGTATTGTGAAAAAGCTCATTTATTTCTCCGGTGACGTTGTCAATGTCTTGTTGGGTACATGTATCACGTGTGTATATGTTTTCAAGGTCATTCATAATATTGGTCAGCTGATCTTGACTATTGTGAAAAGTATTTACAAACTCGTTTCTTTTATTGTCGTTCCACTTGATTGAAGTAGAGTTTTGTGACGTATCATGTGTAATTTCATTATGTGTCAATACTGATTTAAAAACAATGTGTATTGCATTGTGAACATCAGAAAAAAGTGGTACAAAATCAAGTATTTCAAATTCATCTACTAAAGAGAACAGTTTTGCTGATAAAAGCAAATTATCAATAACACTAACATTTTTACATGTAGTACGTCCAATACCTATATCAGAACCAAGTCTGGAGTTAGCTATATAAATATTGAGTTTTTACACATATCTAACAATCTATGACCATAATTATTAATATTACAATGACACTCAGATGTTCGAGATAACGGTATATTTTGAAGCTTCAATTGTTCATAGTCTAACATATATGACAAAATTTCATTGTCACTTTCTAACTCAAAAATATCAATCAATGACTCGTCGGGAACAATAAAATCATCTCGTGTTCCCGTTTTTGCATTAAAATCTCCAATAAGAGAGACAAACGAATTAAATTTATCAGCAAATGTCAATAATTCATTTTCAATTTCTTCAAATGCATCAGTATTTCCATATTTAGAATTTTCCGGTGGTATATAAACAGCACCAAATAATACATCTTTTTCACAGTTTAGTAGACATTTTTGAAATCTAAACCACTGTACATATTGACTTTCACTTTCTATAAAACTGATGTATTGTTTCAAATTTTTTTTTGTATATAATTACTATTCCACCTGACTTTTTTGTCGCACCTATTCTATTCTTTGTTACATATGAAAAACCGTCAGGAATATCAATTATATCTAAATCATCTAATTTAGTTTCAACAAAAACTAATACATCATATGTATGAAAGATATTTGAAAATTCAGTAAATTTTAGTTTAGACTGTAAACCACATACATTAAGATATTTAATATAAGTGTTTATTTTGATTAGATACAATATTGTTCCGTTCCCTTTGTCCTCTTGTACGCCTGTCCTATTGTCCTGTGGTGTTCTGTGGTGGTATAGACTGCATAGGATTATTCGGCATGGTCCTGTTGTTGTTCTGAGGTACAAGACGAGCTGTTTTTAAATATATGTAAACATGTATATACCGCCTTGTATTGGTTGATTGATTGGTGTTTAACGCCACTTTCAGTGCACCTGTCATGTGTGGGATTCCAACTCACAACCTCAGCGTTGACAGGCCTGAGGCTATTGATACAGAGGTTCGACTACTTAGACCACTTGGCCACCGAGGCCCCCTATCGACTTGTACCTGTGGTTATTACCATGTTACTTTAATACATCAAATATAAGTCAGTGTATCATATTAGCACTGAAATAGTAGTTGTTTTAAAAATATAGTAATCTTGTTATTATTTGTTAACTCATACGTGTTATTATACTTCATTTACCAGATGACATGATACGAAGCTATGATCAAAGTAACAATGAATGAATAGGTTGATTGGTTTCATTTAAATAACATGTTTACTTAGAATAGTTGAAGTGGAAACAAAAATCCACGTGTCAAGAGACATCAATCCAACCGTGTTATGAGGGTGTGGATGGGGGTTTACAGAATAGAGAATAGTGGGCAGAAAATATAAAGAATAGAGAAAAATATACCATAAAATTAAATACATTTATTGAGAATAATGAGGTGCTAAAATATAAAGAATAGAGAATAATGGGCAAACAGTATAAAGAATAGAGAAAAGTGACCAAAAAATTAAAGAATACGAAAATGAAGGACCTCCCATCCAAACCCTCTGCTATTAACCATTTAAACATAGTAGAGGTATATAATGAATTTCTTAATCGCCGAAATTGACTTGACGTAGACTTGAAAGTTTCCGTAATAAGGTCTGAGATGTTATCTGGCTTGATTAGATATATGCCTTGGCAAGCAAAAAACAAACGTATATACGCTTTCCTGACTTAAAGAACGAGATGGGGAGACTTTGTGTAAAGGACGGTAATAAGTTTAATGTGCTTTGCATGCTGATTTTAATTACAGTACTGATGGTATTGCTATCCATGGACTCTCAAAAAGGTAGGTATAAATATCAGGGAAGCTTATTTAAAAGGGCATTAGCTGTCAAAATCAAGTTCACCGAATTGACTCAAATTCTCATATTTGATTTATAACATACTAAAACGTATATCCAAATTACAATAAGTCTGTGAAATAAACAGTTAACAATGCATGTACTCGATAATATTCATTAGAATTTCGTGTGTATTTTAGTCTAGACACCATCTAATTAACTATCGAGATGACCTCAGAAGACTGCCGACGGTCACATAACCCGATATAAACATAAACATAAATATAAATAGATAGCGACCTCGATCGTGCAATTGGATCTTCTATGTCTGTTTGATTTCGTGTTATAGGTTAAAAAAAATAAGTTAATTATCGTTTTTACCTGTATAAGAATGATCTTTTGTGGATCGAATCAGTCAACAAAATGGTTCACCTTTGTTTCACTTTCAATGTTGACATTCTTATCCTTTTAGTGGCTAAACACGACTAAAACATGCGTAACCAATCTCTAGCTAATGGTTTAAATTGAAGGTCACATGAATACGGATTCAATGAGGTCGAATTATTCACTTGCAAGTGAATAGAATAATTCATCAGCGATGTTTCTTTGTTTATTTTGACAAAATTGAATCAAATTGGCTGCTAAAAGCGAATTATTATTTCATTATTTCACTTTTATTAATGATTGAACCAAACTAAATCATATTCTAATTTTTTTTCATATCTCGTAGCTAATTCCCTTTAAGGATGTCAGTATTTTGTTTAATTAGTTATTACAAATTCATATGAAACGAGTTTCTTCAAATTATAATGGTAAGGAAATTATTGAACCAATGCTTGTATATCACAGACATTTGTCTCTGAAAAAAAATACGTTTATGCTTTAATACAGCTTATATATATATAAATAAGAAGATGTGGTATGAGTGCCAATGAGACAACTCTCCATCCAAGTCACAATGTATAAAAAGTTAACAATTAAAGTTCAAAGTACGGCCTTCAACACGGAGCATTGGCTCACACCGAACAGCAAGCTATAAGTGCCCCAAAATGACTCTATAGTGTAAAACAATTCAAACAGGAAAACCAACTGTCTAATCTATATAAAAAACGATATATATTAGTAAGTATTTATTCAGAGACAAGTATCTGTGATGTATATATACTAGTAAACTAAGTCATCTATGCACGATTCATTTTACATTTATTACGAATCCATAACATATAATCGACAAAAAATATATTATTCAGTGAAAATTTTGCCTACTAATCAACTTTCGTTGCCGAAGTTTACCGAACGTTACCTTAATAAACAATCAACACAGAACCATAGAGCATGTGAAAAATAAGTGAGATGATAGACATGCCATAGAGCGATGTTTCTAATTGTAATTGACCTTTGTAAAACAGTTGTTAAATGAATTGGTGTATTATATTTTTCTTTTAGAATAAATTAACACTATCTAACATCTTTGTTTGTTTACTCATTCTTTCATCACGATTTTCCCCCTCGCACTTGCGCTGTGCGGTTGCCGAAATACTAACGAGATGTCTCGTGTTTAAGGTCAATGCATACTGAAAAGCTATTGGCGAATTATATTATGGGAAGACAATAATTCAACAGCAGTAAATTCTGAAGATTTTGATAAGATAAAGGATTTCCTTTCGAAAGAAACTCCATGTACACGTGTTTCATAGTAACACTTAGGCAATCAGGTAGATAAAACATATTCAACTTTTTTTTTAATTTTGAAGTATTAAATGACTATAAAATCGATATTGTTTTAGCTAATTATTAATCTTTTATGGAAAAAAGTTATGTTTATTTCGAATTATAACCTTTTTAAACAAATCACTAATCCGTTGCTTCTTACATCAAATCATTAATCTCTTATGTAATGGGGAAAAGTTTTATTTTATTTTCTCTTGTACATTTCAATTTTTTGTTACTTTGAACAATACAGTTCATTAGTATAGTATGCATAAATATACAATTTACAAGTTGAACGTCAGAAATATCAGTCACATGTTAAACAGTTTGTGAGTTTCAAAATACATATAATATAAACATGGCTTAAATATTGTTTCTGCACTTAAACGCATACAGTAAGTACTTTCCAATATTACAAAGTTCTTTAGTGTTTTCAACAGAAAGTAATTGTACTAGTTTATAAGTTGAAGGTCTAGACCAATAATATTTCTTGATAAGTTTCTTACGTATATCAGCATAATTTTTACATTGTAAAATAAAATGACATTCATCCTCTACTACATTTAGACCACACATAATACACAATCTACCATTTTAACAAATTCCATATAATCGACCAGTTTTAATACATAGATTTAGTGGGGATAGTCGAATTTTCGTTACCCATTTACGAGAAATTAGAGGAATACATTTTCGTAAACAAAATTGTAGTTCTACATTTGACACACTATACTTATATATTCTACACTTTGGGGATGTTTCAAGCGTAAAATGTAACTCTTGCTTACCTTGGTCATATAACCGTTGTTTGGTTAATTGTAAAAATGAATTATCCAAACAAAGTACCAATTGGTTGTCCCAATAATTATTCATACCAAGATCATATAACAGTGTTTTAATACAAGTTGTCCAGTTTTTAGCTCACCTAGCCCAAAGGGCCAAGTGAGCTTTTCTCATCACTTGGCGTCCGTCGTCGTTGTCGTCCGTCGTCGTCTCCGTCGTCGTCCGTCGTCGTTAACTTTTACAAAAATCTTCTCCTCTGAAACTACTTGGCCAAATTAAACCAAACTTAAGCACAATCATCATTGGGGTATCTAGTTTAAAAAATGTGTCCGGTGACCCGGCCAACCAACCAAGATGGCCGCCATGGCTAAAAATAGAACATAGGGGTAAAATGTAGATTTTGGCTTATACCTCTGAAACCAAAGCATTTAGAGCAAATCTGACAGTCACATGGGATAAAATTGTTAATCAGGTCAAGATCTATCTGCCCTGAAATTTTCAGATGAATCGGACAACCCGTTGTTGGGTTGCTGCCCCTGAATTGGTTATTTTAAGGAAATTTTGCCGTTTTTGGTTATTATCTTGAATATTATTATAGATAGAGATAAACTGTAAACAGCAATAATGTTCAGCAAAGTAAGATCTACAAATAAGTCAACATGACCAAAATGGTCAGTTGACCCCTTAAGGAGTTATTGCCCTTTATAGTCAATGTTTAACCATTTTTCGTAAATTTTTGTAATCTTTTACAAAAATCTTCTCCTCTGAAACTACTAAGACAAATTTAACCAAACTTGTCAAAAATCATCATTAGGGTATCTAGTTTAAAAAATGTGTCCGATGACCCCGCCCGCGAACCAAGATGGCCGACATGGCTAAAAAATAGTACATAGGGTAAAATGCAGTTTTTGGCTCATATCTCTGAAACCAAAGCATTTAGAGCAAATCTGACGAGGATAAAATTGTTCATTAGGTCAAGAGCTATCTGCCCTGAAGCTTTCAGACCAATCAGGCAACACGTTGTTGGGTTGCTGCCCCTGAATTGGTAATTTTAAGAAAATTTTGCAGCTTTTGGTTATTATCTTGAATATTATTATAGATAGAGATAAACTGTAAACAGCAATAATGTACAGCAAAGTAAGATCTACAAATAAGTCAACATGACCAAAATTGTCAATTGACCCCTTAAGGAGTTATTGCCCTTTATAGTCAATTTTTTACAATTTTCATAAATTTTGTAAATTTTTGTAAATTTTTACAAAATATTTGCCACTGTAACTACTGGGCCAAGTTCATTATAGATAGAGATAATTGTGTGTTCAGTAAAGTAAGATCTACAAACACATCACCATCACCAAAACACAATTTTGTCATGAATCCATCTGCGTCCTTTGCTTAATATGCACATAGACCAAGGTGAACTACACAGGCTCTTTAGGGCCTCTAGTTGCATTTATTACTATTTGCTACTAATTCTTTGTAGCATGACTTCATAATACAATTTTCACTACCATGAATATTAAACCATAATTTGAGCATCCTAAAATTTCGATCATATAACAATGGAAATCTTCCTAATTCATAATTTACATTACATTAGCAGTCGACCTCTTGACCCCTAGTAATATTTTACAATAGTCCAAGTGAACTTTTTCTACATTTGATGCTCTATGAACACCCCATACTTCACAACCAAACATTAAAATACTACATACATAAGTGTCAAATAAACTAATAGAAGTAACAGTGTTCAGGTATAAGGATGACGCCTTTTTCCTCATACTAAACATAGCTTTCCTAACTTGTTCAGTAATATAAAATTTACAATTATAATGAAATAACACACCCAGATAACAACATTTAAAGTTTTACCATTATAAATCCATGTCTCATTTGGTCTGATTTTCCCATCTTTACGGAAAACTACTATCTTGGTTTTTTTTGGTGTTAACTGAAAGATCCCATTTCTCAGTATAACTAGATAAAGTATTTAACATATTTTGCAAGCCTTGGATTGATTCTGACATCAATATCATATCATCATCATACATTAATAAAAAAAGTGTTATGTCCTGAAATTCAAGTGCACAGTTTTCATTAATGATGAATTCTTTCTCGAAGTCATTAACATAAAATGAAAATAATATAGGTGAAAGAACTTCTCCTTGCATTAAGTCAAGGCTATTTGAAAAATATTTAGAATTAAATCCACTGAATCTAATACAAGATCTTGCATTGCTATACATAGATTTAAAAATATTAAGCAATTTTCCTCTGATTCCTAATTAAGAAATTTTGTGCAACAAACATGGACGATCAACTGAAACAAACGCTTTTAAAAAGCAACAATATAATCTATAACCTTTACAGAAAGTATTTTGTATGACAGAATATATACAAAACACAACATCTACTGTACTGTAACCATTACGGAAACCAAATTGTGCTTCAGATAAAATATCGTTCATTAATGCCCACTTTAATAATCTACTGTTCAATATAGTTGTGAATAGTTTACCTAGATTGCTGCCAAGACTTATACCACGGTAATTTGCTGGGTTGTTTACTTCCCCGGACTTAAATACTGGCACTAGAATAGCATCAGACCAAGTGGACGGAAAATATCCGGAGCTCAGAACAGCATTGAAAATAGTACATATATAGGGAAATACGATCTCCTGAAACTCAGTGAAAAATTCGTTTAACAAACAATCAGGGCCATGACTTTTCCCGTGTTTTAAGTCGGGAATAGCTTTTATAAGTTCATCAATGGTAATATCCATATCTAGTTCTTCAAAAACACATTCATTATCTGGCATTTCTGGTCTTCTGTTGTGCTCGTCAGTATTAGATACTAGAGTTTTGAAATAATTAAAAAAGTCAGTTACTGTTAGATCAGTTTATCTTTCTCCTCTTTTTGAATACAGAATAAAATTTCTTAAGATTGTCCTTCCTCAATTTACATAGGGTATCGCCTTCATTTCGCATATATATAAACGTCTACGTTTACGTTCATAGTCTTTATAGGTCTTCTTCACACTATTCAATTCAACATGGTTATTCTTTGATTTATAGCAATTAAATATAGCTAAAGTTTTGCAGTAATTTACATAAAGTTCCTTACACTGTTGATCAAACCAAGGCTTATCAATATGATTACATATTTTGCTTTCCTTATGATTTCGTTTTATTTCAGTACCACTTTTATGACTTTGTTAAAAAAAAAAGGAGCCATAATGTCAATGAAAAGACGGGTAAAATCGTTCACACATGAATCCATATCATCCTTAGACTCAGCTTCTATATTCTGGATTTGCCACTGGACGTTACTGAAGCAACCAACAATCAATCTATATTCTGGAGTGTCGACTTTATCTTGTCAGAGTTTATTAAAAGTGCATTACGACACGTATCCTTATATTCCTCATTCCATCGAAAGAATTCAGATGCCTCTGCATCCTACAATTTAGACTGAACAACATTACGTTTAATAGAAAAATTAGTCTTGAATTGAATATGTAAGGGTGCATGGTCACTGTATGTAGTAATATTACAAGTTACGACCCTTGCTAAAGTGAGGATTATGTTTAAGAAATGTCAGGCCTTGCGGTCATAAAACTTTCGAGCACGATTTTCGTACTCCGACTCGGAAATCAACCAATCAAAATCCTGGATTTGGTGTTTCGAGCACAAATTTTGTACTCCGAGTACTGAGTAAAGTTTTATGACCGAGAGCCCAGGACGTCAGTGAATGACCAAGAAGTAAATGCTCTGCGGTATTGGTTTTTCTCATTGTTGAAGGCCGTATGGTGACCTATAGTTTAAAACTTTTACGTCATTTTGTCTCTGGTGGAGAGTTGTCCCATTGGCAATCATACCACATCGTCTTATTTTAATATCAATAGTAATTTTGTTATCATACAAAAAAAGTGGACTTGTAAGCCCATGACTGACTAAAATAATTTTTAGATAGCACTGCTTTATTCTATCCAGGTCTAAAGGTAAAACAGCGTATTTATGGAAAGACTGCATTAAGGCAACTTAAAGGGTTAATAGAATTGCCAGATACAACAGATCAATCGATCGCAGACACAAAAGCCCGTATAAAACCTAAAGACGTTCCTCTAATCTACACCGTGACGCCAACGTATTATAGATTAACACAAATGGCAGATTTAACACGACTTGCAAATACTCTACGGAATGTTAGACGCTTACATTGGATTGTTGTTGAGGACTGGACTTTTACAAACCACAACGTACACGATTTATTACAGACTTCCAATATTTCCTTTACGTATATAGCACAAGCAAAAAGAAAATCATCAAATGCTTCAAAAGGAAATGATCAGAAAAATGCAGCTATTCAATGGATAACCAAGAATCACCGTTTTGGAGAACCGGCAGTTGTCTATTTTGCGGATGATGACAATACTTACGATCTACGTTTGTTTGAAGAGGTTTGTAATTATGTATAAATGATCGAACTACAAAAGCTCAGTAAAGTCCATGTTTAAAATGTTTTTGCTTGCAACATTATGAATTTAGAGCAAGACAGTTTCAAAAAGGTCGAGCGCGAACATAAAAACAAACTATCAAAGTCAGTTGAAAAGGGCTTAACTCATCAGATCGATACAAAGCAGAAAAACATCTAACAAGAATATAGACCGGACGTGGCAGGGTATTTATACATCCACACAACAAAAAGACACTAAGTAAAGATCTAAGAGTACTCGCAGTAACTGACAGCTAGTTACACAAGTTGCACCAAGTTTTAAAATGCCATTGAAAGCTAATTATCTGATTACGGTTCAGTGAGTTTGGTTGAACCTTTTGCTATTTGCTCTTACGATAAGATCTAACTAGTTTCGGTACATTAATCACTTTTTAAAACAAACTTTCAAAACAAGCATTAACAAAAATACCGATCTTCAAGGTAAATTCAAAAAGGGGGAAGTCCCTAAAACCTGATAAAATCAAACGATAGACTATATAAACCAACAGAACGAATGGAAAAAAAACTGTCATATTCCTGACATGGTACAGGCATTTACCAAAGAAATTGGTTGGTTAAACCTGGTTTTAAAGCTACCCTTCACTTGCATGACAGTTGTTTGTAGTTCATTTCTATTGACAAAATTGGATGAGCAAGCCAAACAGACATAATTGGTTACTGTAACAATAGTTGGGACCCAGCAGCCAGAACTGTGTAAATACATGCATCACAGAAATATAACGCAACTGACTAAAAAATTTCAACTTCACCTTATACTTGACTCAATTGATGAACATCTACCAAACATACGAACAACAGTAACTGGCTCAATTTTCTAAATATTTTTTTTAATGCTCTTCAACTTCGTAATTTGTCTTTCCAACAGTTTTGATTCGATCGCCACTGGTGAGTCTCTTGTAGACTGGCGTACTTAATTATAACCCTGATATCGTTAGTGAGTTTTATTTCCCAATAGTTACTGAATTCCTCAGTCTTAATAGTTATTTTTATAAAAGGAATAAATGAATAGTTGATATTTAGTTTATTGTCGCTTAACATCCAGTGGCAAATATTTCATGCATCTTTATGAACGAAAACGCTATTTTATTATGTTGTAGATGAGGTACACTAAAAAACTTTCCATGTGGCCTGTTGGATTCTCTGGGAAAATGAGGTTAGAGAAACCTATCGTCAAAGATGGAAAGGTAATAATAAAATAGTCGTAATCATAGTTTTTGCAAATGGATGCAGTACATTTTATCGAAAAATTAAAGTGTACATTACCTATTTCAAACTGATTCACAGTGACAAATATAGGCTTTGTAAAATTGGGGGGGGGGGGGGGTAAAAACCTAGTTCTTGTTCAAGAATATCAAAAGCGCCTGACTTATCCGTTCAATTGTACTTTCGATAGCTCATTTTAGCAAAAACTCATGGAGTTGTGTTGGTTTGGTTAAAAATTGAATTTTTTTTTATTACAAACTTATGAAGGAACGGGGTCTTACTTGACGGATTCCGTTATTTTAAAGGATCATAAAAAGTTTTAAAAAATCCAGACAAAATATAGAAATATTATCAGTGACCGCTGTGGATAGTGAACTAGGACTAATTACTAATAGTAAATAGAAAATACATGTCATTTGTAGTATATTAATGTTAATATGTCACAGACAGACGCGAAAATAATAGAAACCAAAAGAAAGCACAAACAAATAAAGGACTTTAGATAAAAGGGGGAGGGCTAAAAAATTGTCCTGTCCCAAAGTTTGGAAGCAACGAACAGTTCTTGTGGAATTATGATCAATATTGTAGATGAGATATATCAAGAGCCCATGATGTATGATCAATGTGATATAAGTGTCAGGGCAAAACATATATGTAATATATAAGTTCAGAGAGTTCCTGGTTTAAAATGAGGTCGTGATTTTTGTAGTGCAAGCTATTCAGACTTTTAGTGCTGTGTTTAATTAAATGTGCTGTTTAATTAAAATATATCATTCTATTGTCTTATATTGTAAATAAGTAAGAAATGGATTAAATTTTTTTCACGTACTGAAATGGGCATTGATGATTTTTGTTCGTTAAAATAGTTTAAACTATGACGATAAAACGTCCGATTTCCCCCCGCTGATGTCCTATCAATTCGATGAATGATCACAAATAACTAATAGATATAGGAAGATGTGGTATGAGTGCCAATGAGACAACTCTCCATCCAAGTCACAATTTGTAAAAGTAAACCATTATAGTCAAAGTACGGCCTTCAACACGGAGCCTTGGCTCACAGTTTGAGTTGAACAAACGTTTTCAATATTTCTAATATGAGAGGATCGTAATGGGTTTTACATTATAGGGAATAATGGACAAAAAGGATAACAAAAAATAAAGAGTACAGAATTATTAGGTGCCAAATAAAATAGAATAGAGAAAAATTGGCCAAAAAAGAAAAGAAAAGAGAAACATGACCTAAAAATTAACGAAATACACAATTGGACCCCCCTTCCCCCAATACTGACACTCATATAATATGTTAAACTCTAAATCACCAAGGGTTTAGCCTATAGTTTTGGCTCTATTTAAAACAATTTATAAATAATTTGAACTTGAAAGCAGAATTTCTAAAATAAAAAAGGAATCGTCCGCTATAGTAACGTTTCTTTTTGTATTTGTAGGTGACGAACTTCAGCGCGTGGTGGTCAAACCATCGAGTGTTTCCTGTAGACATGGCTGGTTTTGCTATCAATACCGATGTTTTATGGAATTATTATCCAATGCGATTTGAGACTATAGTACCAGCAGATACGTGTTGTATGGCAGAAACTCATTTCTTGGAACAATGTTGTACAAGGGAAGAAATTGAACCAAAGGCAGACAACTGTACAAAGGTTGTATGCGTAGGAATCTAAAACAAATGACGGGATTTTAGCTCACCGGTCCGTGAGCTTATGCCATCACTTGGCGTCCGTCGTTGTCAGTCGTCTGTCGTCGTCGTCGTCGTCGTAAACTATTTCAAGAATCTTCTCCTCTGAAACCACTGGGCCAAATACCTTCAAGTTCAAACTTTAAATGAATGTTTCTTAGGGTATCTAGTTTATATATTGTATCCGAAGTTTTGATCCATCAACAAACATGGCCGCCATGGCTAAAAATAGAACATAGGGGTGAAATGCAGTTTTTGGCTTATATCTCAAAAACTAAAGCATTTAGAGCAAATCTGACAAGAAATAAAAATGTCCAATAGGTCAATATCTATCAGCCCTGAAATTTTCAGACAAACCGAACAACCCATTGTTGGGTTGCTGCCACTAAATTGGTAATTTTAAGGAAATTTTGCAGTTTTTTGTTATTATATTGAATATTATTGAAGATAAAGATAAACTGTAAACGGCAAAAATGTTCAGCAAAGTAAGATCTACAAAAAAGTTAAATGTTAAAAGCAAAATTGTCAATTGAACCCTTAAGGAGTTATTGTCCTTTAAAGACAATTTTACACAATTTGTTCATCATGTTTGCCAATATTTAAAAATCTTCTCCTCTGAAACTAATGGGCCTTATACTTCTAAACTTTAACTGAATGTTCCTTAGGGTAACTGGTTTATAAAATTTATTCGAAGTTTTGATCCATTAACAAACATGGCCGCCATGGCTAAAAATAGAACATAGGGGTCAAATGCAGTTTTTGGCTTTCATCTCAAAAACTATAGCAGTTAAAGCAAAAGTGACATGAAGTTAAAGTGACGAATAAGAAATTTTCAGACCAATTGGATCACCCAGTGTAGGGTTACTGTCCGAAATAGTTTATTTTTATGAAATTTTACTGATTTTGGTTATTATCTTTAATATTATAATAGATAGGGAGAAATTGTAAATGTCAAAACTGTTCAGCTTAGTAGGATTTACAAATAAGTCAAATGATCAAAATAGTCAATTGACTCCTTAAGGAGTTATTGCCCTTGAAACGTTTATATTTTACATTTTTCGAGCAAGTCTAATTACTTTTTCAAAAATCTTCTCTGAAACTACTTGGCCAAATATTTAAAAACTTTAATTGAATGTTCCTTAGGGTCTCTAGTTTGTAAATTGTATCCGAAGTTTTGATCCATCAACAAACATGGCCGCCATGGCTAAAAATAGAACGTAAGGGACAAAAGCAGTTTTTGGCTTAAATATCAAAACCTACAGCAGTTAGAGCAAAAGTGAAAGAGTTAAAGTGATAAATGGGTTATGATCTATCTGTAATGAAATTTTCAGACAAGTTCGACAACCCATTGTTGGGTTACTGTTGGAAATAGTTCATTTTTATTAAATTTTACTGTTATTGGTTATTTTCTTTAATATTAAAATAGATAGAGAGAAAGTATGAATGGCAATAAATGTTCAGCTAAGTAAGATCTACAAATAAGTCAACATGATCTAAATAGTCAATAGACCCCTTAAGGAGTTATTGCCCTTAAAACTTTTTTTTTTACATTTTTTGTGAAAGTCTGATTACTTTTTCAAAAATCTTCTCTGAAACTACTTGGCAAAATATTTAAAAACTTTAATTGAATGTTCCTTAGGGTATCTAGTTTATAGATTGTATTCGGGGATTTGACCCATTCAAAAACATGGCGACAGTTTCTAAAAATAGAACATAGGGGTCAAATGAAGTTTTTGGCTTTCATCTCAAAAGCTAAAGCAGTAAGAGCAAAACTGACCTAGGTGAAAGTGTTAAACATGTTTAGATCTACCTACCAAGTAATCTTCAGACCAATAGGACAACTTATTGTTGGGTTACTGTCCAGAAATAGTTAATTTTTAGGAAATTTTACAGTTTTGGGTTATGTATTTTCTTTAATATTATTATAGAAAGAGAGAAAGTGTAATTGACAAAATTGTTCAGCAAAGTAAGATCTACAAAAAGTCAAATGCCTGAAACTGAAATTACAGGTGAGCGATATCAGGATCTCATGAGCCTCTTGTTAATAGTTTGGCTCATATTTGTATATCGGTAAAAGTGAATGAATTATAAAATGTCAATAGATATAGGAAGATGTGGTATGAGTGCCAATGAGACAACCCTCCATCCAAGTTACAATTTATAAAAGTAAACCATTATAGGTCAATGCATTATTAGTTTTTTTTTATAAGAAATATGGCGTAAGGACACTGAATCTCCAAATATATATATATTTTTACCTGGATAAATGTTTACAAGAAAAGTTTCTGGTTGGGTTTAAGTGATAACCATACAGTTTGATCGTTGGTTAAGACGTACCGTGACTTTACTATACGCGTTTCACTCAACATACTGTTGTAGTCCATTTAAAAAGGATGCCCAATTAAATTTGAAATACGGATTAATTGATTGATAGGTTTATAACGCCACTTTCAGCACTATTGTGCTATTTCGGGGCGGTCAGTGTTTATTGGTGGAGGAAGCCGGAGTGCCCGGAGAGAACAACCGACCTTCGGTAGGAAAAATGACAATGCTAGTCAATTAAGATTGGAAACTGAGGAGCGCACCGACCACGTGCTGGATTCGAACTCACAACCTCAGTGTTGACAGGCTAGTGATACAGTAGTTCGACTACTTTTTTTCTTTTTTTTCCACGTTATTATCTGCAATATTCTACAATCTATTATGGAAAACATATAGTCCTTATACTATCATTTACACAACTACCATTCAGCACATTGTACCATTATTATACGACTAATCAGACCACTTGCCCACCGTGGCCCCTGAAATAAGGAGATGAGGTATGATTGACAATGAGATAATCTCCATCAATCAGAGTCCAAATGGCGTGGATGTAACCTACTTCAATGCATGGGTCACCGTATGGCCTTCAACAATTATGAGCAAAACCAATTATTTTTACTGTATAGTATACTATAAAAAGACTCGGGATGATACAATGTAAAAACAATTAATGCAATATTAAACAACGGCCTGTTTCATTACCAAACAATACTTGAAAAACAAATAATAATTTTTATAACATGTATAACAGATCAACTTGACCTAGACATTGTTGACAGAAATATATTTCTCTAATTCTTTGAAAATTTATATACCTTTCTGCACTCATTGTATAAAAAAATTTAATCAACGTGTGGTTGCCGGTGATCTCAGAAGATGATTCATTGGATGAATTTAAGGGTCATAACCTTTATCAGCTCAAAATATGCTAACAGGTGTTAATGAAATTGACAACTTTGTGAAATGTGGAAGGCACTCGAAGGGGATTTTGGTTTAACAAAAAATGAAAATGTATTTTTTAATCATTAGAGAAACAGATTCTTACATAGTTACTCGTGAATTATCGGATTTATCCAATCTCGATAATTAAATTATCAGGGCTCAGACTTTAAAATTGCTAATTTAACTATCTCGATTGGATAAATCCGATAATCCACTGGTATCAATGTAAGAATCTATATGTATCTTAGTATTCGGTTGGTTGTGGTTGCTTACTTAGTTACCGTTGAGTTTTAAATATTACAAGACGAACAGTAATTCTTAAATGAAACTGTGCTATTGTCTTTATAACATTAAGCTATAACTAGCATATAATTTCGGCCTTTTTTCTATTCTAGGTCTATGTATGGCATACGAAAACAGTGAAGCCAGGTCTGAAAGTTGACCAATCAAAATATGAAGAGATATATGTTTAGTCAGAGTCTTATTAAACCACAAATCACAAGACTAAATTATTCGATGTTCTACATTGCACAGACCAGTGTTTTGTCAGAGCCTAAGAATCCGAAACAAGAAAAGGACCTAACGTCACAATGGAACTGCTCTCAAATTTGCGCACAGAAAGGAAATTTATGATATCAATACAAGCTAAAAGAGTCGTAATTGTTCGCTTTGTCTTCCTTGTTCCTTCCTTTTAAAGACTTATATGTGAAAATGCACTTTCTTTAGCTTGTAGTTTATAAACTAGAAGTATTTTATTTTTATAATATACAGTCAATCGTGAAAAATAGATCAAATTATCTGTATAGATGCGATACGAGCACTCCATGATTTTTTTTAATTACATGAAGACCTTAATCCGTGCAAGACGGTTAATCCAGTCTATAAGGAGTATAGACTGACAAAATATATCGCTACAGAGTCGAGTACTATACATCATGGTGACTTAATATTATTTTCATTTTGCAGATTTTTACAGTTCAAGATGAATGTTTTTGTTTGTCATATAGATTTGATTGTTTATTTTGGTATCTTCTTGCTTTTTTCTCATTAATTACAACAATTATTAATTATGGAACATTCAAGTAAAAAAAGAACATATAGTTGTTAATTTCTGTGTCATTTGGTCTCTTGTGGAGAGTTGTCTCATTGGCAATCATACCACATCTTCTTTTTATATACCTACTAAGAAGTGAGTTTGTGATTACGCTTACAAACCTTATGCTATACTAAAAAGGAACGATCGACAAATAACAATATAAGTTCACTTAAACAACGGGTATATACAGTCAAACCTGTATATAAAGGTCACCTTCAGGGCTAGAGAAAACTGACTTTATAAGGACAATTAACAGTAAAAGGCACTAAAACCAACGGGTAAATACAGTCAAACCAGTATTTAAAGGTCATCATCAGGACCTCAGAAAACTAACATTATAAGTTTAGTTTTTTCTGGACCTGGTGGTGACCTTCCATGCAAGTCAAGAGCCAATTCTATGGTTGTCGTTTGTTGCTGTATATTATATTTGTTTTTCGTTTATTGTTTTGTACATAAATCAGGCCGTTAGTTTTCTTGTTTGAATTGTTTTACATTTGTCATTTCGGGGTCATTTATAGCTTATATTATGCGGTATGGGTTTTGCTCATTGTTGAAGGCCGTACGATTACATATAGTTGTTAACTTCTACGTCATTTGGTCTCTGATGGAGAGTGGTATCATTGGCAATCATACCACATCTTATTTGCATATTGCTATATAAATTAAAGGGGCTGACCTTTGAATTGAGGTCCAAAATGCATAGGTATTACTACAGTGGACCATGTCACAAATGTTTACCTTAAACAACCTGAAAATCTAATGAAAAATAATCCATGTAAATTGTTTTTTTTTTTTTTTTAATATGGATGAAAGATATTCTTTTAGAGATTTTTGCCTTAAAATGAGCTCTTACATGTAATTTTGTGTTATTTAATACATTTGGTATTGTTTACATGTTCTTATACAGTATATGCGTCACTGCTATCATTTATACTGTTTTTGCTGATTATGTTAAGGGGAAAACGCGGTTATTAAAATGGTGAAGTACGGAAAGTGGGCGGGCGACTGCAAACAATTTTCGAGCAACAATATATGAACCTTTCAAAAAATGCTTTTCAAATTTTGATATGTTGATACTGGTGACAAAATGGATGTCAAGTTTTAATTGGATTTTTCTTGGTCTGTTTGATTTCATATTGTAGGTGAAAAAGTATGTTTATCAACGTTTTTACCTCTTAAAAGAATGATTTTTGGTGGATCGAATCAGTCAACCAAATGGTTCATCCTTGTTTCACTTTCAATGTTGACATTCTTTTCCTTTTAATAGCTGAGTGCATGCGTATAATTGTTTACTATTTACACATTGTGACTTGGATGGATAGTTGTCTCATTGGCACTCATACCACATCCTCTTATCTATATTTATAGTAACCCATCTCCAGCTAAGGGGTTAAGATGAAGGTCACATGAATACGGATTCAATGAGGTCAAATTATTCACTTGTAAGTGAATAATTCATCAGCGATGTTTCTTATCTTATTTTGACAAAATTGAAACAAATTGGCTGCTATAAGCGAATTATTATTTCACTATATCACTTTCATTGATGATTGAACAAAACAAAACAAATTCATATTTTAAGTTTTTATATATCTCGTAGCTAATGCCCCTTTAATGCATTTTTCTGTTATTTGATAATTTTTGTATTGTTAAGTGTTCTGTTATACAATATATGCATCATTGTTATCATTGAAATTATGTTTGCTTAATTTGTTATTTAAAATTCCGAGAAATCCTCATTTTTTGCTGATTTTTTTGTGATTTTTTGCTTTAAATGAGCTCGTTTTGTAGTTTTGTGTTACGTTATACAGTTGTTATTGTTTGCCATGTTTTTATACAGTATATGCATCACTGCTATCATGATATTACATTTGTTCAGTATTTTATTTAAGATTTCCAGAAATCCTCATTTTTAGTTGATTTATTTTGGGGGGGTTTGCCAAAAAATTACCTCTAAATGCATTTTTCGTTATGTCATAACTTTGGCATTGGTAAATGTATTATTATACAATCACTACATTATTGTTATCATTCAAATTATGTTTGTTGACCTTGTTATTAAACAAATTAAGAAATTCTCATCTTTTTATTTTTTGCCCCAAAATGATGAAAAATGCATAAAATGCATAAGTTTTAACATGAATAATTTACTTTGCCATTTTTGTGCTGTGTTAACTTTTATGTATGCTTCTCTATTTTTAGTTTTCCTTGAAGGATTGTGTTTTTAATGTTGTTGTTTATGGTCGTATGTATTCTATTAAAAGCTCTACAAAACTTATTTTATTACTCCTACCGAATTTAAATCAAGCATTCGTATTCGTATTCGCATATTCGTTTTGGACGGATTTGTTAGATAACGCATTTAAAAAAAGGCATTTTTTTTTTACGTTATTTACATACTTTTATATTTTCAAACCTATTTCACATTTGTTTTTATTGGCTGTATCAAATTCCATATATATTTTTTCGATACTAGTATTAGATTCAGTACAACGACTTCTAAATCAATTCATACAAAATTTCATCAAAATCCAAAATATCGCCCAATTACGTATACTTTGTCTTCATTAAGGTCCGGTTACAGTAAATTGGTCATGTCACAGATTTTTGTCAAATATTGCAGGAATGCATTATCAACTTGATTTTAAAGAAAAATCTATGCATTGGTACTTGAAGATTTAATGACATTAAGATACGTTTAATGTGCTTTCTATACAAATGTACATCTATTTTGAAAGAATGAATTCCATTATATTTCATAAAATAACAAAGTCCCAAAGTTGAATGTTAAATTTTACCAAAATCTGTGAATTAGCACATTTATTATAAAGCGAACCGTGTATTATACAAATTAAGCAAAGGGAATGTGAATTAATAAAATTGTCAATTTCGTTTATCAGCGCTTATTTAACAATGAGTTTTCGACGCGATCTAATAAAAGGATCAATTTCGGCTACCATCGCTTACCTAACAATGTGTAGCCGACGTGATCCTTTAGCAGTATAATCCATTGATCGGTTCTTGAGCACCCATACTGTTATTTTATTCGTATTTAATTTCGTTTTCTATAACTGATTTAAGGATGTTCGCTACTCTTAATTTTGACTTTTTGTCAGATATTCGGAATCCTATAGTTTTATCAATGTGGTGCCATTCAAAATTTTGCCCGCTAACTCCCAATTTTCTTTTCATCATTTTGATACATATAGTTTAAAAAGCCATTTTTGAAATTCACAAAAAATGTCCTTGTAATCTTTCATAGTTTTTGAAAGAAAAAAGGTGCCAATGTCAAATGTATCAAGAGTCTAGAGAGTCATTTCCCGCCAAATTTTCAATTGCTTATATCTCAGAAACTAGAACACTGACCTTTCATTGTTTCTGCTTTCTAAGGGACCTACCATTTGATTTTTATGTGGGGGAGGGGAGTGGGCTAGGGCCGAATAGAGTGAAAAATAAAAAGGCGGGACCGAATAGAGTGAAAAATAAACAGGCAGGACAGAGATTACAACTAAAAAAAAAATGCAGGACAAAATTTTTCATCCTAGCCCCCCCCCCCCCCCCCATAAAAATCAAATGGTAGCTCCCTAAGTTCCACTATTTGTATACTTTCAATTTATAACAGTCTTTTAAAATCCTAGTTCTTTTTAAACAGAGGAGCGAACTTCCTTAAGCCAATAGAATCTATAGTAAGCTGCACCATCAGGCAACCAATCAGAACTAACTTTTGTTAAGTAATAATTTGAAGATGGCGTGAATTGTATGTAACTAAAACATGTAGATACGCATCGTGATGCGAAGCAAACATGCAGATGTTCTTTTGCACATATTATTCAATTTCTTGATTCGGTTGATTTTTGGGGTTAAACTTTCAAATTGGCATGACATGGACTTTGTTATATCCTAACACTACAGTTCGCCTTTGTATCCTCTCTCCTTCGAAACTGCTAATAAGAATTTAATGAAACTCTCTCAGAATCTTCACTATGAAATGCCATTTTAATAACACTACATTTTATTTTTCATCCGAAATATTTTTGGATTTTCCTAAACAAATCATATACTTTGCCATTGCTTTTGTCTGGAATGAGGGTATCGTGGTGTGAGCTTTTTATTATGGCAGTACTTCTTGTTTAATTTGCTAGTGTTTCAATTGAAAGTGTTACCGAATAGTTTGAAAACGGCCAATATATAAACTGATTTTAGCTGTAATATAATAACCCATTTCTCTAATTCTTGACCGATTTACACTGTTCAGACTGATGGATTATTTTTTTCAGAAATTGAATTATGGCTTCATCATGTTCATGTTTTCTTGTTTTGGTCTGAGTTTGCTATCGTGACGTCGCGAAAAAGGGGCGATCAGCCTGATGACGTCACATAGTAAGAACAACAGATTGTTTTTTTGCCGATCATTGAAAAAGAAAGATAATGTTTGCCTGTATATTGTCTATTGTCATCAAGTAATAGGTTCAAAACAATAATTCTTCACTCTCCACAAATGTTTTCTTTTAATTTCATTATTTTCTGTGTTATATGGATTTTGCTCATTGTTGAAGGCCGTACGGTGACCTTTAATTGTTAATTTATGTGTCATTTGCACAGACACTTGTCTCTGAAAAAAAAATTCCTATATACCTTAAAATATTAAGGTATATTTTTCAGAGACAAGTTCCTGCGGTCATTTGGTCTCTTGTGGAGAGTTGTCTCGTTGGCAATTATACCACATCTTATTTTTATATAAATGTACTTATATAAAGGAACCACATAAAATGCTTGGCAATACATATTGGTTTCGCCTGTCCATCCTTCTGTAACAATTATTGTGAAGGCTTCTCTTCTTCAAATTTTCCCTATAAGCTTTAATGATAAGGGAGTGATCAGTCCGTTGTCCATCGTGTTTAGGTGATCTATAACTATACCGCCATGTTTATGAAAAAAAGTTATCTGGAGTCGTGAAACTATGGCCATTGTGTGGCAATCGTGGCATATTGCCACCATGTGGGCTCCATCAACTTGTTTAGAGCACATTTCGGATAGCTGACATACTTAGTGAGGCCCCTCATGGCGGTGTCCAAGTAATCACATAGTCACAAATTTTTTGCCAATATAATCACATAATCATTAATTATTTTTTTAAACATGATAGTAAAATAATCAAAAATACAGTCCTAGATTATCAAATAATCAAATGATCATGAAATATTTGCTCACATGCTGGTCTGGTAATCAAATAATCACTTTTAAACGTCCAAGTAATCACATAATCAAAAACCCCACGAGGAGGCTCCTAAATGAGATTGTTAGTCTTCAAGTGTTGTTTCAGAGGCGGATTCAGGTGGCGTGGAAGGCACCACCCTCCAATCGGAAAAATGCAATTTCTTTGCTGAAAATCGCCTCGCTATGCTTGCCAGGATTACAATTTCGGACAACCTAGGTCCCTGGATCCGCACATGCAATTTTCTGCTAAGTTCATTCATTCAATCATAATGTCATGCACCGAGGAAGTACATATATCCTCAAAAAAAACCTCAGTACCATATATGAACAGAGAAGTGAGAAAAGCTATTTTTCACAAACAAAACTTGGGAAGCATATAGAAAAACAAAAAAATCTGGAAACAAAATATAAAAAAAAATCGGTGAATATTTATTTTCAAGAAAGATGTGATGGAGAACAAAAATCAAAACAGTGTTTACACTTTACTTGGATAGTTATTTATAGTGAACTTCAGTACCTGTGGGTTATTAACTCTCTGGCTCCACTTTACTTGAATAGTTATTTATAGTGAACTTCAGTACCTGTGGGTTATTAACTCACTGGCTGCACTTTACTTGAATAGTTATTTATGGTGATCTTCAGTACCTGTGGGTTATTATCTCACTGGCTGCACTTTACTTGGATAGTTATTTATAGTGAACTTCGGTACCTGCGGGTTATTACCTCACTGGCTTCACTTTACTTAAATAGCTATCTAAAGTGAACTTCGGTACCTGTGGGTTATTACCTCACTGGTTGCACTTTACTTGGATATTTTTTTAAGTGGACTGCAGAACCAGTGGGATATTAACTCTCTGACTGCACATCATTGCTTCAGAGAATTGAAATACATTAGAAGATATTTTCAATAATCTGAAGTTTCTTAAATGGACATTTTCCACTAGACTCGAGCTTAGGATTTAAATCATTTGTAGACTAGAACTTCTGTTAACCACCAGTTTGAAGTTTCACTGGATTTCCGTACACTTGGATTGTTATTTTCAGTAAGATGCAGATCATTTGAATTGTAAGGGAAATACCAACTATGAAAGGGAGGGGTGGTTATGGTTTTTCGCCAAAAAAAATATTCTGATTCCCAACTCTGAAGAAATAAATATGTTGACCAGGGAGAAGAATTTTTTTTTTAATTAGTTTTTGTTTCAAAGATGAAGACATATGTTCCAATTGTCGTAAACACAATCCCGTCCTCTTCTCCTCGAATGTGACCTACAAAATATGAATTCTCACCGGGTTTGTACTTGACCATGCGCAACTCGACGGGCGCTACATGTGGAGCAAGATGATCTGCTTACCATTTAAAGCTAAAGCTTCTATGATGAATCCATGATATTTGGTATGCAGTTGTACACAGCTACTTTTGCATAGGTACTATTTCTGTACTAAAAATCTGTAGTACTGGAAATTTACTTTTGATAGTAAGTACTATTTCTTTACTTTAAAATTCTTGTAATATTTAGGTACCTGTATTTTACAGTACTTGATTTGTACTTGAAATTTTTGGTACAGAAGTAATACCAACAGTGATAACTATTCCATGTTTGAAAATCATAACTTAATTTAAGAGATTTGAAATAGACAAACTTTCAAAATGCTGAAAATGTAACTGTGTAACCAAAATTTTGTAGTACTTAAATTTCAAATACATATCAAGTACTGTAAAATACAGGCACCTAAATATTACAATAATTTCAAAGTAACAAAATAGTACTGAATATTTAAAGTAGATTTCCAGTACTATAGATTTTTGGTACAGAAATAGTACCTATGCAAAATTAGCTGTGTACAACTGCATACCAAAT